CCTGGGTTCAAAATGACGGACTTTGTCATTCACATCCTTCCCAGACATAAATACACTTTTTGCACTGGATTTCAGTGTGTTCCCTGCTACAGGCTCTGCTATATGAGCCATCTGTGCTCCGCTGGTCATTAAACACAATGTTTGATAGGTATGTTGGAAAAATGAAATACCTACTTCCTCCCGAAGAAAGATCAACACCCATTTTTCTAAGACCTATATTGATTAAAATCTGTCTGGATCCTGATTTATGCCTAATGCTTGAACCAAAAATTCCAGAGGTACTGAACGTTATGGAAAGTCCTTTTCATTCTTGTTGCATCAACACAATTAGCTACCTACCTTGTAGGTATAGGTTACTTCTATCTTTTTCTGTAGAATAATGTTTGAAAAATATTCTTAAATCGAAGGCTGATTTTCCTCTGAAAATCGAAAAGCAGGAGCACACACATTCAGCCAACATTTGTATATACATAGTCAAAGGCAGATGAACTTCTTGCAAGCAAAGTTTTTTGGTTTGGTTTCAATTCAAATTGAAAAATATGGAAAATGCAGTGTGTTCTAGTCAAAAGAAACCTCTATTGCAATTTGAATTGAAAATAAGTAATTCTTAGGGGGCAATCGTGATCCTCAGTATCAATCAGTTCAGAACGTAAGGGCTTTCAGTAATTTTATTATACTGGCTGCAGTAACTTAGGGTTCATTTCACTCCCGCTCAGCTATCTAACATGTTAAGCATGCCTAAACGAGTCATCCCATCTCCTCCTTCAAGAAAAACAGAGCTACGAGCAATTCCAGAGATCAGTTCATCTTATCTACCTTAAATACCTGTCTTAGCATGGGATGCATCACATCTGGAGGCAGCTTAGTTGTCTTTCTCCAAGCCAGCTTGGCCCTTAGTTTATGATGTCAGTCAGATACCTATTTATATCAAATCAGATTAAATGCCTTTGTAACTGTACACTAGCATTAAAAGACAACTTTTGAAATGCACAAGTGAGAGTAAAAATAGGCAACGATTTCTGTATAAAGGGAAAAACGTACTAAAAATTAAAAAAGGTGGCATAAAAGTTATGACAGTTACTTCATTTTGAATGGCTTTCTCAAAAGTATTTAGAAGCTTTCTCATAAAAGTATAACTTGAACAGTTATGGCAATATATACAAGTACATATATATATATATACACACACTCCTACGAGATATTAGATGTTTAGCTGCTGAAGCCGCAGCTCTGAGCTATCCACCTCTCTCCACTGTGGAGAGGCTCCAGAGCCAGCTCCTAAAACACTGTGATTGATGGAGCAGTATTTTAAGGCAGACCAAAATCAATGAAGGTTAACTTAAAACACTACACGGGAAACTGCTGCAGGCCTGGGAGCTGATTGACAAGGCGAGGAGCCGGGGACAGGCATCGCTAAAGCATCTTTGCTCCTTGGCCACAGCTGGAGGCCGCGGTGTCCCTGGGAAAGTGCTGCCCGTCAGTGGCCTGTCAGCACTACCACTTTGCAAACCCCATGCCATCGTGACAAAAAGCACCCCTGAAACTTTGCAGCTGCCAGTCACGTCAAAGACCTCAGTGTATTTTGTCTTGTACCAAAAACGTCCATGCACAACAACGTGAAAAGGGCACAATACCTATGAAAAGCTCTGTAGGCTGGATCTGGAAGTATTTCCCACAACATACACAATTCAGATTTTATCAGACCACAGGCACCTCATTTAAAAAACGAGATTCTTTCTCACCTGCTTTGATTCCTGTGTATAAAGGAGATTATCTGGAGTAGCAGAAACGCATCGTGAAAACCCTAGGCCCAGACAAGGAATGTATTGCTGATGTAGGGAAGGAAGATGAGACCCTCTGGCTCCCATCCAATAGCCCCTCGAAAGCCACGGCAGACTCCTGGGCTGGGAGGGGAGGGCAGGGACAGACCTGCAACACGTGGCACCAGAGAAAAGGTCGGCCACACTGTGCCCATGCAGAGCTGGGAGCAGGCTTCAGAAATCAAAACATGCCCCTCTGATAAAACTATGCCTTAGGCCACATAGCAGTCCAGATCAGGAGGCGCAAAGATAGGTCAGCACCTTCGGAGGCTTCAGATGCTGAACTGTTTCTCTAACAGGTGTTGTACTAAACCTCGTCAGTATTTGCTACTCACATACAATGTTCATTTCTGTTACCTTTGATGACACTTCTGCCTATATGCCAGAAGAGCAACAAATTCAAAGCAGAACAGCAGCACCCACCTAAACAAAAAGAAAGAAATGTTTTGACAGAGTCCAGTTGATAAAAAGATGCAAAGAACAAGAAAAAAAAGGTAAAAAAAATGGCCTGACCACCTCAGGCCCTAATAAGAAAAATTATACATAAAGTTTATCCTTTATTCTAGAAGAATTTCCTTTATGACTCTGAAGGCAATACTTTTTAAAAAGTATTAAAAAATAACCTGATGCTTTAAAAAAAAATTATAACTTGTTTTTCCTCCATTTGTGAGGATATGCTTCACTTCCAAGTGTAATAAAAGCCCTTAATACTGACTTTTATAACACAGTGGAAACCCAGTTATAATATTTTGCATTTTGATTGTATGTGCTAAAGAAACTCAACCTGAAATTAGAATCCCTGTGCATTTTCAAAAAAATAGTTTTCTGTTTTGCAGGTAATTTTTTTTCTTCCTAAAACATACAACTTCACAATCAATGACTCATAGGATTTCCCTTGGGAAAATTAACCCCTTACATCAAATAAACCTAGTAAAATGTGGTCATTCAATCAGGCTTCAGGAACATTTCTGAACTTCAACATCCACGATGAGAAAATAAAGCAACATTCAGTTATATTTACAGAGCCCATTTATTTCTACAAGTTAATACTGCCTACATTTAAACTTTCAAGTAATGTGGCACAATCGGAGTTAATACATGGAATAAAACAGTTGGTGCTGAAAACCTGGCATCCACACTCTCAATGTTCAGGCGCTTTTGCTTTGGACCAGCTCTGGTGGGATCCCACGCTCTCAGCATCCATTAGCGGAGGAGTGTGTTAGGTGTGCTCCTGGAGGGCGTCAGGCAGTTTATTTTTATCCAAGGGAAATGCAGTTTGTGTGCTCTGAAGATGCTCCACGATGACACAGGCCAAACCCTGGTGAACCAGGATGGCAGAAGATGGCCTCAAAAGCAGAATTCTGACCCAAATGTAAATACCAATTAAACACGTGCACTGTCAACATAAAAATCTCTCTCAAAATGTTTGCCCGAAAAAGTTTCAAATAACACTTTAAGTTACTGTAAATAGAAAACATTTAAAGAAAAAAAAATGTTTGCAAAATGTTTTCTGTGTCTTAAATTACTGCTCTTCTACATAACCAGTTACTCCCATTTCCCTACTTCTATGAAATTCCACCATGGAAATACAAGAAAGAAAAACATGTATAAATTTTAAGACATTTTACTGTACACCCTTAAAACGGTAGTTATTCTGATATATACAACACGCATACAATACGCAGTCTCCCTTTACTGTAGTGGTCTGGCTACTAGTTGTGCTTTTCTCCCAATTTAGGAAGTTTAATGTTGCTTAGTTCCATAAAAGTTTTCATGAAACATATGACTTGCTGACAGCAAACAGCTCAAAAAGTAGTGCATTCAATATTTAAGCATTATATTCTTAACAGAGTGATAACAAACCTTAATCTTAAGGTTGAGTAGTCTTCAACTAACAATATAAAACTGAATTTCTAAGCATGAAAAAATTTATCTACAACTATCTTAAAAAAAAGGGCAAAACTTCAGCTCATATTTGAGCCAAATCTCAGCTCAAACATCATTCTGAAGATGAATTTTGTTTGATTTTATCAGTTTTGATGGCCTTTCTCTGTTTCTGCTGAGATACAACTGGGAAGAAGACATTGGCAGTGCACCTGTTCCTTGGTGTTTCAAAGCCCAGTTAATTGGAGTGTGCTTGAACGAAAAGACCACAGATTAGGCACATATCCTACTCAAATCAACAAATCTATTGTAGCTTACCTTATACCTTATTCATAAAATGCTATTGCATTTATTGCCATGTCTATACAGTATTCCCACCAGTGACTATTATTCATTTCTGCCTAGCGACAATGATATAAAACTTTAAAATCAGGTTTGCCTGACTGAGAACTGCAGGTCCATATGCTTCCAGATAGAAAATATTCATACAGCAACGGAGGTCTCATTCAAATGTTTGGACTCATTTGAAGGTGATTACTCAGTTGCTGTATTTCCTATACATATGTACACAAAGAAACATTGGTAAAAACAGTAATCACTTCCAGACGGGTAGAAACTTTAACATGTATGAAATTACTGCCCCCAGGCTAAAATCTTCCTGCTCCACTGGCAGAAATATTAATTCTCAGAAGGTGTTCCTATTGGCTATAGTATATCAACTCTGGAATGAAGAAACCTTGAACTTGCCACCACAAAGGTGTGGAAACCGCTGTGCTTCTGCATCAGTGTGCTGGTGCTCCCAGCGGAGCCAAAAGAAGTCAAATCGGGCTGCCAAACGCAGTGATGGGAAGAACATTAGTAAGTCAAACTCAGCAGCTTTATCTCACCCTTTCTCTGGTGAGAGTTGGGTTCTTCAGGGACAACAAGCAGGATACATTCTTCACAGTACACCTGATTATTACTTACACATTCCTTAAACCTATTTTCAGTGACAACGCAACCAAAATCCTAGTTTGATGAACCTACAGTTTGTTAAAATATGACACTGTAACAAAAGAATTAGTAAAGAGATTAGTTCCCTCATGGCACAAGTTCTTGCTTTCTACATATAAACCAACCACATTAAAAAAATTTTTGCAACATCATAAAATACAGTTCTGGTAACTGACTCGCTCAGTATCCATCTCAGCTGTGACTTGTTCCTCCAGTCTGCAGAACATTAGGTAGGGGGAGAAATCTCCCTACCCTCTTCCTCAGGTTGAAATGAAACAGCAAGCCAAAAGCTGTACGTGAAGATCATGATTTCTGGTCTTCCTCTGGTGGGATGACTTCCAAGAGGATTTGCAATGTTACAGTTACCTTGTCTGCAAAGATAAAAGCATACACACAGGAAATTTTGGTGGGGATGGAGAAGGCAGAAGCAGCCAGGAAAATTATCTTAGCTGCTGTACAGCCTGCTTGCACATACGGTTCACAGTGGTCATATATACCAGGTGCATATATCATTTAAATGTTGGATTCAATTTTTTTCTTTTAAACTATGTTTTCTTTGCCCCTGATCCAAGGCTATGCATATACAATAATAATGGAAAGGTATGGAGTTATAAACTTGGTCAATAAAGGTCTGTATGCATTTAAAGGCTATCTTAAAGCATGACTACTCTGCATAACTGCTTAGTTTTAACGAAGTTGCAATGTCGAAATAAAAGTCGGAAAGAGTTCAAACAAGTTAATTCAGCTGTGCCAAGATCTGTCTAAGCAAAAAAGAAAAAAAAAAAATTAGAAGGAAACAATGATTACAAAGCTTCACAAGTCTAAGGATTTCATACATCCAAAGACATACATCCTGTCTTTTTGTCACTCTGGACATTTATTTCCTTCTGGAGTTTTTGGTGGTTTTTTTTTTTCAAGGTACTGATTCATAAATGGCATAGTTAATTTACATATAGAATAGTAAAAGAGCATTCTCTTACCACTCCTTTTGCTTGTCGCTTTTTTTTAGTAACCCATTTTAAACAAGCAGGAGTTATTATAAGAGAGAATTCTGGTCGTCCTTGTCTAGCAAGACACGTCGTCCCTTACACCAGCACAAAGCGAGGAGGGTAAAACAGTGCAACTCACAGAAGACATGAACCAAAACTACTTTCCTGCTCTCCTGTCTAAGGCAGACTCTACCATCTTTTGCTCTTCTCTCTGGAGGTCACCAGTTCAATGCAAAGCAAGGTTGCCCTTAGACTATAAACTGATGGGGTCAGAGAGGCTGAGAGTCAATAGGGACTGCATTTTCCTCCCATCTCCCTCCCCTACCCGCAGCGGGGACTTCGGGCTGGGCTGAGCGTGGCCGGGGTGAAGGACAGGAGGAAAGCCAGCAGCAGAAAGCCAGCAGGGCTTCGCCCCTGCTGTCCCACCTCTTCCAGATTTGAGGCTGAGCAAAGGAAGAAGAAATAAAACAGACTTTCTGTCAAGCTGAGCTGTGGTATTACAGCTCCTGGAAAAGGGCACTGCAGCAGAGGGAAAGCCTGGGCATCTCGAGAGCTGGCTGTGATTTTAATGTCCTGTTCAACAAACTGGACAGAACCAACCACGGCAAGACCTTGCCCTCGCTGTGGCAGGGGGGGGGCGGCGTGGTTGTGCTCTGTGCTGGGATGAAGCCATGGAGGAGCAACCAGACAAGTTGGGGGGGGCGGGTTGCTTGCTTGTTTTTTTTGGTTGCAATATACTCATGGTAAGACAGTGTAAGGAGTATTTTCCCCAAAAAATGTTCCAAGCTGTCTCCAGCCAGTATCCCTATATTGTCTGCTTTGAGCAGTACCTGGAGGACTAGCTTCACATTTGTAACAGGACAACTTAATATATCATGACAGTAAGGATGACTCCCCCACCCCCATTTTAAACCCTAATTTTCCCTTTCAAAAGAAGAATTCACTGTAAATAGGTCCCAGGGGACAACCTTTATAAAAAAAAAAAAAACAAACAGACACGGTATCTATATAAGCATCACATAAAGCTTGGGTGAGGAAAGAGCAGTAATTTACTGCATATGTATAAGACTGGACACAGAATCTGCAACAGCAAAATGCTGAGATGACTTCCTGCGGATCCAAACATCACAGACTCAACAACGAGAAGGAAACTGAGCGTGTAACACCATGTCCTGAGCGAGCATCATCCTCTGGTGTTTGCAAATAACCCTGAAAGAGACATGTTGTTACATAAACAGATCTCTTTTCCAGCATGGGCTCGGGCTATGAAGAAAGCAGGATTCAACTTTTAAGCTGCTCACAATTCAATCCACTGTAAAAGAAACAGATGTTTTAAACATGAGTCCAAGGTTGGGTTTCCAACCGAGGAAGCCCAAATGGAAGTGCCCTGGTGCTGGTGCCGCATGCTTTTACACACTGATCTGCTTCGTAAGATTTGCTAGGCTTGACTTTTTTCATTTTCACATTAGTTCTACAAAAAGCAAGAAAGCGGAGGTCAAATGAAGCCTGTACTAGCTGAAAATGATTTGTCCCAGCACATCTGGTGCTACAGCAAAATTTCTTTGGAAGAGGAGAGAACAAAAGGTTATTCTCACGGCAAAATACCACCCAGACCCTATTAACCCCACAAACTGTGGGGTTACCTTTTGTTCAATACAGCAATTTGGTAAGGAGAATGGGTAATGTAAATGCCATCAAGGACAGTCAAAATGTACAGAACAAAGACGTTCAAGCCTTGGAGAGGATTTCTTGGGTAATCCATTTGAGGGCTCTGCTACTGTAACCAGCCTGAAACCCCTTTCATAAACATGCTCCTCTTCAGGCTGGGTCTTTTATCCCAATGCTCATTGTGGCTGCTCAACATCCCCTCCTCTGATCCTTACAAAACCTATTCTGAATATCCAGTCTAATGTTACCTGGGGCTGGTCTGTATCCATATGTTTTTTCACCAGTGCTGCCCTTTAATTAAATAGCACATGTTCCACCTAAGGTTTATGAGCAGCAGTCATCTCTCCTCTCCAAAGCATGTCTGGGTAGCCGAACAAGTCAAGTTCCCCAACCAGGTGACTTTGCAAATGGGCAGAGAGTGCCCCACACCACCCTGTTCATGCGCTGAGCTGCGCAGATGAAGCAGCCTGGGAACAGTCTTGGTAGCACAATGCTGTGTTCAGACGCCCAGGCTTTGACTCCCCCTGTGGTACTACACAAAATGCCTTGTCTAAGTCTAAGTAGATTGGATCTATCACGTTCCCTTTTGTCTAGAAAAATCAGTTATCTTCTCCAAGAAAGTTGCCCACTTAATCTGCAAAAATCTACCTCTTAAATGACAATCGCATTCGTTCATGTTGTCCATTTACCTCGCATCTGGAATTACTCTTTCACGCCTATGTACACCTAACGCATATTGTTTCAAGGTTAGAATATCAAGCTTGCAGCTGCCCCATGACTTTTCTATATCTCACAGAGGTACCTTAAGTGAATTTATCCTCATTCAATGCCTTTGAAAAATGCTCTCAGGCTATACAGCGGAGCTCCCTTAACACTCACAAAATAATGCCAGTTTAATGACTCCACACAGGACGTTTATTGCTTCTTCTGAGGAAGAAAAAAAAAAAAAAATCTTTTTATTTAACAAGTAAATCTCCACTCAGCTCCACCCCAAAACTGCCAGCATCAGTTTTCTATCATTACTGTTGTTATTTTAGGACTAATAATTACAAAATAAACAGCCCAGTGACTGGCGTCCGCTGCTTTCCCCTCCAAGCCCGTACACTGTGTCCATCCACAGGTAATACACAGGCACCAGGCCTTCTTCCTAGGAGGAGGATTTTGTGTTATCTGAAAAGCTAGAAGATTCACCTTCGTCGTCACAGCTGGCAGAAAAAGCTTCACATCTACCCAGTCTACCTTAAAGAGAATATTTTTTCTCTCACCCAAGTAATGTAGTTCAACACTGGCATCCTGTGGCCAGAGATTCAAGTAACTGTATTCCAAAACCTCGGAGACTTCACAGAAAATGCCAAAAATCTCCTGGGTTTGATAAAGGAAAATTTCCTAGTTCCTAAATGTCAAGGCTGAGAAATTATAAACAGACAAAAAAACCAACTATTTAATAGAATGTCCTTGTGCATATAACTGTTTTCATTTGCACTGACGCTTTCTGCCCATTCCCAGGACATTGCAAGTAATTTATAACTTTATGGATATAAAATTAAGACAACCAGAGCGTGCTAGCCTTAAACTAACATCTTTTTCTGTAAATACTTTCTACCCTATTGTCTATGGACTTCCCAGCATGAATCGAGAGGGAAATTCATAGATCCTACAACAGATAGAATATAACTATATAACATATCGTTATATAGAGAAAATACATATAAAAGGTTACAGTATAATAACATACATACAATAAAAGAATGGGAGTTTTATAAGCAGCTCATTTTAAACCATCCCTTAAGACTGAAGCACAGAAGACAATATGCATTTTTGATTCAGCACCTATACAAATAAACTATTTTTAGTTGAAAGCTTTCATGGGTTGAGTTTTTCTTTTGCAGCAAAAGAGATTTTTCTTTCAGTTTTGTTTAATAAATTATCCATCATTCCTCAAATATTTTGCCTATGTTCTTGTTTCATGTTTTGAAAATTACCTCCATTTTGGAAACCTCCTATCATGCTCAGTAACAAAAAAGAGAAGAATGGGGAGCTGTAACAAATGATACTGACTTCTTTCTAATTTAAATTCTTCAAACAACCCTTCTCCAACATATCAGAACTTCCACAAATGCTTTCAAAAACTTTCAGAAATGGTATAAAAAGATTCTCGGTGTATTTCAGGTGTGAAATACTACAGCCAAGTCACTCGGAAGTCATTTTTCATGAAGCACAGAAACAATTTCCACAGAGGTGTGTCAGGCACAGTATATTTTGCTGTCATTTTGTTGGGAGCCACCACTAAGGACGATATCCCCATACCAAGCCCGACGGAGCCTGTCCCATTCCAAATACTCCACAGATGCATGGTCTCAGCAGGGAGCACCGAGCCCATCCTGTCATCACAACTGTGATGTCTAAGTTTCCAAACCGATTCTCCTAGGAGTGAAATGCTTTCTCTATTAGCATAGGCCAACAGCCACAGGAGGGACACGGGTGATTTAAAAGGAATCAGATGTCTGTAGGGGAGGGAAGGGAGCAGGGGAAGAGGCGTCCAGTCATTTAAAGTGAAGCACTAGCTGAGGAATAGGCTTGCTGTAAACATATCTCGTTAGTTAACGGACATTAATTGTAACCAGTAGATCAATGCTATAGCATGCACCAAAAAGAAACTTGCATTGTCATCCCCAGCTCAGAGCAGCTGAGAGGATCGATCATAAGCATTTCACAACACGGGGAACCCTGAGAAATTCCCAGAGTCAGCACGAAGGAGTGGAGTCCCACCGGGGCTTACCGAGGAGCTTTCTGAACCACCTTGGCTTCTTGTCCCATACAATAAAGAGGTAGTAGGCAGGAACTCCGGTCAGGGTTATTGCAAATCCAATCCCTGTATTCACTGGATCAGAGTAAAGTGACAATGCAACCATGAAGAGGCAGGTGAAGGAAAACAACGCTGGAATAAATAGAGGCACCTGAAACATAACCGCACAAAGGACCATTACTTTACATTGACCTTGTTATTGAATGACTATGGCATTTAATGTTCCATGAAACTTAAATCGGATAAAACCCAGCAGTACAGGATAGTTCTGGAGAAATACGGGTATCTAGAAAACGCACACAAAATGTCAGTGACTGCAGAAACCAAGCTACGCAGAGTGCTATGCAGTAAGCACCACAGAAGTCTTTTAATTACACACTAAAACACTACAGTGTTTTACCTCCCTTAAAATGTAAAGGCTGTAAATAAGTTACATTGCAAAAGTCCTTTCTCTAATCCTCCAGTAGATAAGTAAGCGCACTAACTGCAGTAAAGATTTCCTCTTTGATAATTACCTATTAGAAAACATTTTAAAACACAACCAAGAGCTCAAGTCACCTTTTAAAACTATTAAGAACATATTGATTTTCTTCCTAAGGTAAAAATTAAAATCTGGCAGGAAGAGAGCAAATTAAACACCAATTTGACTAGTGATGAAGATATTCGATAGCATTATGCAGCTGATAGCTACTGAAAAAGCACTTTTTGACTGTATGACTGATAGCATTATCGGTGTCGCTGCTGAAAGTACAAAAAAACAACATCATCACATTAATTCTTTCCATTTCCAAGAACACCACTACAATCACTATGTTAGCACCTCTCTGAAGGAAACGCCTACAGGCATGGCTTGCGAGATGTTCGGTGTAACAGAGAATTGGAAAATTCCTTGGAGATTATTCTCTTCCTTTCATGCCTTGAAGCATTATTGTTCCTCTTTTGTGCACTGTCAAAGCATTTTTTTTTAATCAAAGCAAAATAGGTTGTGCTGTTGCCCTTCTTATTTACAGATATACCTACAAGAACGCAACAGAGCACGTTCTTCAGTTCTCCACAAAATAGGCTTCTTGGCAATACATAAATAGGGGTAGATTCCTCCATTTTTTTCATGATAGACATTATCTTTCTGGATACGCAATGGGACAACTTACTTTGTAAGATATTGCTTAAAATAAGCAAGAAGAGTGGCAGAACCAAGGTCAAAACAGCTACTGTTCAATGGGCCAGACTATCAGCATTTTCTTTCTGGGTTCACAATAACTGTTTCTGCAAATTCATTGCAAGTCCCAAGTATCATAATAATAGCACTACTAACTTATTTGCACATCAAATTGACATATTTGATATTGGATAGGCAATGAAATAAATGTTTAATATTAATGCTTATGCTTGACATGAATTCTGGTGGCAAAATTATTCAGGCCTTTATCAAAGGAGACATTAGACACAAAGGAGGATTGGCTGAAAAGCAGCTTGGCACATGTAACCCCAGTATTTGCAGTCTGAACCCTGTGTGACTATGCAGGACTAGAGGTATTTTCACACAGCTTGCCTCACGCTGCCTCAACGCGACAGACAGGCAAAACTGAGCAAACACCTTCACTTTGGCACAGCAGCTTCAGTCGCTGCCCCCCGAGCACCAGGGAATAGCCAAGAATTAGAATTTTCTTTCAGAAGGCAGCGCAGCTGGGGTAGCACCGGGGAGCTTGCAGGAAAACACTCTGAGACCCTTCAGTGCAAAAGACTATTTTCTATTAACTCTGTTTTTCTCAAAAAAGAGGTTAGCTTTCTCCAGCAGAAAATGCTTCTTTACTGTCTGACTATACAATAGATAGGAGGGAGAAGGATTCATGTAAAACAGTAGAGAGCGGAGGTTACCTTGAAAGGACGAGGCATATCAGGATGTTTATATCTGAGATAAATCAACCCAGCAACTACTAGTCCAATAAAAAGCCACCTGGCAAAACTGAGGAAATTCAGGAGGCTGTAGAGATCCCCGTTGAATAACATTATCATTGTGAGAGGATGCTGCAAAAGAAATTCAGAACATAAGAGGGGTTTAGTGGATTGATCTCTATTATTTTACAGCAGCAATGTCAAATTTTTCCACAGGGACAAGCAGCGCAGCCTTTTGCAGAGACACCTGAGGACCACAGACTTTGGTTCTGCCTTTTTCATGCCAATCAGGTGTGTGACTGATACCTAGCTGTCCCCCGAGATCATCTTCGATCAATATATATCTGTCCCAGGTGGCCACAGGTGATCAATACATATCTGTCCCGTGTGACCCCGAGAAATACACAGGCGCACAGCCCACTGCATCACCAAAATACTTGAGCATCCTGGGCACCATTCTCACGGGACCTGACAAATATATTAGCTCACTGCAGTTTTACTCACTCATCGCTGATGCAAATGATAAGAGCAGTTAAATTTTGGTCACACAAAAGTGGAGGTTTCTAGGTGTCTTGTGGAAGGAAAATTCAGGCTGCAACAGGGGAACTCAGCAGAGAGGGCATGGCAAGGGGTAGCTACACCCCATGGGATGCCAGCGGGGCACACCGGCTTGCCACCAGCTTGTATTTGCAGCATGCCTTTCAGGCTTGCAGGGTGTAGACTTATTCCACATCGGAAGTGCAAACATTTCTAAGCAGAGAGAAGCATTTAGCTGTCACTCAGGTGGCTACTGAACAGCAAGAAGGAGAGGGGACACTAGAATAAATACATTTCTTCATTAAAGAGCTGTTCTGAGATACAGGGCTTCTGCGAGGCAGGCAAAAGCTTATATATCAACTAGAGTGTTGCACCGTGGGTTAGATGATTAGTGTAAGCTACAGGGATCTATTTCAGGGGAATCTCTGGACAAAAGCAGACTATTTGTAGCTTGGATCAACTCTGCAGTGTAGCCCGTGCTTCCCCCACAAGATACCCTGTGCCCACAATGACAGAGTCCTTGCGTTTGGGGATGAAGGAATGAGGCAACTTCACTGTAGCCCTCACTGTTCAGCAAGAGGGAAGATCCTGGCAGCTACAGCCTCTCTAGGTTTATAACAAGGCAACAGGTGAAATCAACTGCAGATGCAGTAAAATGCTGGACTAAATCTTTATGTAAGGAAAGCTAACTTGCATTAGTTATCTAGACTTACAGCCTCTCTCTTTTTCTTTTTTCTTTTTTTTTTTTTTTTTTTAAAGCAGTGAAGACAGCTTGGATTTGAACAAGAAGGATCAATATTTCAAATATGGGTCTCTGGCTTCCAACCTCTAATGACTTACAAAGCACTTGGTTCTTTATACACAGGTATTAAGCAAGCTCCTCCTCTGTAAAGGTCAAAGGAAACCTTACCACTGAATTATACTGGGCAAGATTTCTTCCATACAGACTCAGTCCCTAAAACTAAAATCTAGGTTATAAGCATGATAATGCCAGAAAGGGCCACAGACAGTGAAGGAGAGCTACCAAGAAAAACAAATAAAGTAGGGCTACAATCAGATTGCATGATTTCTTGGAGTTGCTACGCACACATCTATCAAATACCAGGACATACATACATAAACAGATTTCGTAATTCCCAAAAATGCTTTTTTATTTAACAGGCCTCAAACACTGAATGTGCTCATTTTCTCAGTTTCTCCTCAAGGGCTCTTTCCTTTCTTACAGTGTGTAGACCTTGGCAGGAGAGATAAAAAAGGAAAATGCTAAAATGCAGACTATTGATGCAGAATATATCCTGCAACTACTCTACTTGCAATAAGGTAAGAAAAAAATATTACAGTCTCTGAAGGATGGCTATGTTCACATGAGAATCTGACTTTTTCAAAGGAAATCAATGCACTGGTGTAACAGGACCAGATGCAGTAGCAGAAAACATCTTTCAGAAAAAAAATAATATATTAATACATTTTGTGCATTTCATTCCACAGAAAACAGTCAATGCAATTTAACCAAAAGGTATGACTACTTCAGCCCAAAGAAATAAAATGCAAAGTAAATGCTTATGTAAAATGAATTTGATTAAAACTTTTCACCATAATCACATTGCCTAATTTTCAAAATTTGGATGCCTACAGTTGTACGTGCACATATAAAATTCAACACTTCAGCTGGCACTTCAGAAGCGAGCTTATAGGCATCTATAGCAAAAACTGATTTAAATTCCAGGACAAGCATCCGATCTTACTAGCGTGCACACGTCTTCTGCTGTGGCTGGAACTCCCCGCAGATGCAGAGGTCTGTCCAGATAGATTACAGTCATCGGTCCCAAAAGAGGGTCTGGACACCCACGGTTATGAAGACTGCAAGTTAAGTGGAAATCTTCTTGGCACTATGCAAACTGAGGTTTGAGGTTGGTATTTTGACATTTTGTCCTAACATTTTACCATACAAATTAGTCTGCAATGCAAACACATAGTCAACATTTAGCTCTGCTGCTATTTTAGAAGTCAGTAATAGGATTTCCACTATAATAACGGTGTTTTTCCTCAGACAATTCACAGACTATTGCCCAAGCACACGTTCTCTCATTTTTTAATCACTGCTACACTGCACTGCTGAGGGTTCCCCTTTCATTATCTTAGTCCATAATTGTTTGCATTTTTCACTATAAGGTGGTATAATGAGCCTTTAGGGTGCTCCCAGATGCTGATGTTTAGCTGCACTTTCGGTTAAATGAATCCCTTTTTTGTTTGTTTGTTTGACTGGAATTTGCTTCTCTGAAAGGGAACTAGCTCATCACTAGCAGGTCCTTAGAAATAAAGGGCAATAAGACATGAATTAGGCTGCAGCAATAGGCAGTAGAGTGCTACCGACAAGATAGCAAGGAGATGATAGAATAAGAACAACTCCCAAATCTCATTCCTCTCTTTACTGTCCTCTGTCCTGCCCAAAGCCCACGTACACATTAATAAATGAGACTCAAGCAGTGCCTAAATTCTGTTCGAATCCTCCAGAGCAAGCCTGTAATATGAATTCTTGTGCAGGAACATTTGTTTGTATGATTTACCAAAACAATGACAGCTGGCAGAGGAGTGTGCTTGCGGACATGAATCATGGAGAGAATTTCCGGAAGGTGACCCTCGCGGGATGCAACGAAGAACATCCTGGTGGGAAATAAATGTGGACAGACTTTAAATGTGCTCATTACTGTGACTAGGCAAAGCGGCTCATGAAAGTCACAGAGCACAGCGGCACTTCTTAGGCTTGTTTGAGGTATTCTGAATGAAAACTAGCAGGAGAAGCCCGGACGCAGAAATTAAAGTCATCTCTGAACATGTCCCCTCCTTACCTTACACTATGATCGGTGTTTGGAATTAGTTAGTATTTTCCCTCCAATTTCCCTCCTTCACATGAAGCAAAGCAGCCATTAATTAAGTGCTGTACTGGGAGGGATCAATTTCCAAACCATTCAAAAGGTTTTAACAATAAGATACTAAATCCAATGGGAACAAAGTGAGAAAAAGCCCTACACCTGCTAAACATTATAGTCATTTTTCATTTCCTGCTAAAAGAATTAATCCTACTCTCCCTTCCGCTTGCTTCCTCACTTTCAGCGTATACCTCATGCCCTTCACCCCCAGGAGTATTAGCAGTGCTTACCTGGAAACCGCAAAAGTGCCACCATTCATAGATCCAAAGCAGGAGAGAGCAACAAATACTGGTACAGCTAAAGAAAAGTTTCCCATTAGTCGTTCCGCAAAGGTCTGTTAGAGGAGAGAGAAACATACAGTGATTTTTCATAAAACATGAAAGTAATTTTACTCTATTAACAAATTATTAATAAATATGGTAAGTTTTATTTATATCCCCTTTCTGCATCTCTCACTGAAAGTTGTGCTGTGCATTTATTACCTCTTATTTTGTGACACCAAGGCTACTGCAGATGAGGTCTCCCACCCTTACTCCTGACTGCGTGTGGAAGATTGCCAGCTGAGGCAATGCTGTGGAGGTCTGATTTATGTCAGTTTAGACCATTATGACTCCAGAAAAGAAGACCCAGTCTGAATGGACCAAGATCTTATCTGGATATCTCATATTTTGTTTCTACAGCCTTCATTTTACTTAGCTGATGCTACCCAGTGGTATAGTCCATCCATTTGCACTTTATTGTTCTAGGTTACCAGAAGAGCCTTAATTGGAGTTTTGGGCACCACAGGAGACACGGACAATTTTCTTCAGGTTTGCAAAATGTTTTGTTTCTAACTCTCCCATGAGCTACAGAATTTGGTCATTTTTTAAATGCCACATCAATTCAAATAGCCATGGGCAGTGTTGCTGCTGGAAAGTAAACGGAAACGTTTGTTTCCTCATTGCCAGTCAGAAACCATAAATATAAAAAAAATCAGTGTCATCACCACAATTCAGCAAGAACAATCAAAGCAGTATTTCCATGCCAGGTTGCCTTGCAACTCCTTCCCAAATGAATTCCAGTATTCACAGCAACCCCATTCCTAAGTACTCGGGACACACGTTGTACGTTACCGCTTCGTGCTACAAAAAATAGTTCAGAGCTCCCGCTTCCACAAATATCTGTGTTTCCTGCTTCCCAGGAGTTTGGCCTACAATTTAGCAAAGAATTTTTCAAACATGTCCTTGGCTATAGAATTTAAGTCCTATTGACTTTGTTGTATCAGGTCAATAAATACAGTCTAACAATACATTACAAATGCTATCGATGGCCTTAAGTGCAAACCCACTCATCAGTCAAAAATCAGACTAAGTTCACCGGGATGCTAATACGTGGTGTAAAAGAGGAGCCATATAAAAGGCTGATTGGATGTGTCCCCCCCAATTTTTCCCCTGGAAATAAGAATATATCAACAGACACAACTGCAGCAGGGATATAGCTTTGTATTTTTCTTCTGTAACTTACCACTGCTACAGCTTTTGAAAGCAGCAATTCCCCAGCACTGATTGTAGTGAAATAAGCCACGTTTGTTAACACATAGCCAACTGTGACGATAATCATTGAAATGCATATTGCGAGGGGTATGTTTCTGAAATACACAAGGTAGCTCATTATTTTGCAATCTGGTTGCTATTCCCTGAACATGAAACAAATAACATGAGAAGAAGCCACTAATGATGGTGAATGCACATTTGGTGATCCTGAAATATCATAATTAGAAACTATCGGTAAAAAAATAACACATCAAAACAAACCATCTAGACAAAGCAAATAGGTTTATAATGAAGAGGTGAGACACCATTTGAGGGAGGAGTCCTTTGGGGAGGCCAAGAGGCTGTGGTCCCCATGCTTCCCATGCAAGAAGCGTGGCCCGTTTGAGCTGCCTACCCATACCGACTTTAAAGCTGAGCCCAATAGGAAGGCAGCAGGTTGCAGTGCTTGAACCAGCAATAAGGCAGATGACAGATGCAGGGGATTCAGCGCTCTGTCTATCAGGAGAGCAATCACAGTGGCATCTCCAACATACCTACTGGCACTCAGTGACTGCCCACCTGGAGGTGGTTCAACACCTTCCCCTGGATGCCAAAATGTCTAGTATGTGCAATTCTGCCCTCTCCTCCTCTGTGCAATTCTTCCCTCGCATACCTTACCATATCCCAATTATCTCTCTCACTATTCAGGGATACATGAGGGCAGAATACGACACAGAAATAGGTACAGCACAAATAGTACCGAACAGTTCAAAACCCTTGACATCTTAGCTAAAAGACAGAACAACAACACACAAATACGAATAACGCCGGACTTTTGTATAGCATGTCCTCCCAGTCAGCAAAGCAGAAAAGCAGAATTATTTCTATTTTAAAGAAAAGGAACAGAGATACTGTGAATTTGTCTAAAGCCACACTACAGGCAAATGTTCGAGTTAGGAACAAAACCCAGATGCTTCAAGTGTTACTCTAGTCTCTTTCCACTTGATGTCATTGCTTGATATCATTGATATCTGCATCACACCAAGAAGAGACTCAGATCTGAAATCAACATTTACTCCTTTAATTCCAAGGCAGAGAGTTGCAGTTGGAAACATGCAGTACATGCGCTCCCTCTGAGGAGAGCTGAGCGCTCCTGCTTCATGGTCGGTTCCCTCCAGCTATCTACATTGATTGCGTTTGAAGAGATGCAAAGTTTGCCACATTTAGAGAACTTTGTTGTGAAGGTCACCCCATCAGGTGGGAGAAAGCAGAGACAGAATGAGCAATTCTGGTGTCCCAGAAGAGACCACAAGCACAGTGCTAAAGGACTATTGCAATTACCTCAGAGGAAAAGGTGTTTTGAGAATCAACACAAAAATTTATCGTTTTCTGATTTTTTTCTCAGAGAAACACAGCTGGGTCAGAATTTAAGGATCCTCTTCACTCCCAATCCTTATTTCTCAAGGAAATCCTTCACATAGCTACGGCTATATAGAGCTGAAAAGAAGCTCTAAACTGAGACAAAATAAGTAACTAAAGCAGGACAGTATTGCTGTTGCACATCTTGCCCACCTTAGAAACCATGGTGTCAAATACTGTCATTAACCCAGACACACAGGTAGGTAAGAGAATCATGCCGTATTGCAGCACCAAATCTGGGTAGACACGATGATACTGCATGAACCCACTGCTACATCATGCACAGGGTCTCAGGTGAAGCAGCTGGAAGGAGGGGAGTCAGTCAGCTTGTGGGGTGCGCTTGTTGATGGAGAAGGCAATGGCAAGGACCATAGCAAACAGCCCAGAATGCAAGTGCTGTATTGCTGGAAAAACCACAAAGTTACTGACTCAAGAAATACTGCAGCACTGCCTGTTGATAATATGTCTGTGCAAAAAATGTTTTTGTAGGTCAGTTGCCGGATATTTTGCAACCAGTTTGGTTAAGCTTCTTACCTGACCCGGGTGTAAATTGAATTCAGTCCGCTTAGCATTTGATTCAAGGTTACATGGTTTCAAAGCCTCTCAGAACAGAGATTTTAATTGTATCTTCTGCATCACAGATGAATGCTTCAACCAGCAAGCTATTGGATAAATCAGCATTTACTCCAACCTTAAAAAAATCTTTCCAGCCAAAGACAGCAAATTTGTACTATTTTCACAAATACCATTTGAATGACTGAAACCACATTGTTAAACTTAACTATCTTTTTCCATTCTAACTCTTACCAAACACCTGCTTGCTGTATTTACTTCTAATTTGAATCCCAGTTTAATTTCCTCTAAAAAATGGCAGTTCAAAACTAAGGGGAAAAAAAAATTATGCTTCCAAACATGACCGTTTCCTTAGCACTGTGGGTCCTGCCTTGTTATACTGAAGAGCACTAACCCCTTCGGATAGCAATACCAACAACAACAACAGGAAAAAAAAAAAAAAAAACTCAGGAGAAGAATAAAATTCAAAACACAAGCCAGAACTAGTCAGCAAGCACAATTCATTAAAAAGCCTGCAGATCATAACCCACGCCTGGAGCAGCACAAGGGATGCTGTGACTTCTAAGTTCTTGAGTCCTCATCTTCTGCACGAAGCGAGCGCTCGGGTTGCAGCTCCTTTTGTCTCCCGGCAGAAGCAGGCCTTCGCAGGGCTGCCGTACCTTCGCGCACAGCCCCTCCGAGCGCTGCTTATTAGGCACTGCTTTCGGTGACAGATTTAGACAAAAATGAAAGGCCAGTTTCAAGATTTCAGGAATAAGTAATACAGTACGGTTCATTTCTCACTGACACCGCAGTTCAGATTTACACTTGGTCGTCGAATCATCTGAAAGCACGGACAGACAGGTACGAACCATATGTAAAACCACTGAGTGAGAGCTTTAATTGTATCTTTTCTATCCATCCAATTTAAGAGGCAGTTCCCAATTTGCAACAGGATACCATTATCAAACTCTCTGCTATGAACTACAGTCACTGCATTGGAAAAAAAAACTATAATGCCATTAGCATTAAAGATTACCTCCTTTCCTTGGAGGATCACTGTACCAATCTCGTATTTTAGATATTCTCCTAGACTTCCAAATCTTCTCTCCAAATCAGGAAAAAACAGACCTAAGTTCTCTGTTAAAATGCCTCTATTGATGCAGATTTCACCTTTTCACTTCTGCATCCTATGAATCGAACACAATACAGGGTGTTAGCACACTGATAAGCCATGTTTCTGATATAATGCAAATTCACAACTGCTACACAGCTAGCTGAGAGTTTTGAACTAGAGGGAGTCAGAAAATTCAAGAAAAAAAATATTTTTCACTTTAATATTTTGGTTCACTGAAGTTAAAACTTTTGATGGGATACTTGACAATTTCAGTAAGATATTTCTTAGGAAAAAATCTTAGAACCAGACAGAAATCTTGTCCAACTGGTAAAGACCTCAGAATAGCCAATGGCTTAAAAACCATAGCATATGTGTGCTCAGATACAATATTTTATTTACTTAAAGCAGGCCCAGGACTTGAACTTGCATAGAAGCGGCTACTAGTTACTGTAGGGCAGTGCTTTCCTTTTGCATTTCATGTCAGAGTGAAATCTCAACAGATTTCAAAATCAAGAAAAACTATTTTCAAATCAGCCATTTTTCTGAGTAGACCTTCAGGTGCTGACGTTAACCCCAAACCTATACAATGATTTGGAAGTGTCTCGTGTTACTGCCAAGACGATATTCAAGCAGGCTGCTCCTCAGGTAGAAGGGGAAGCTGCTGCCAGCAGTCTTTTGCAATATTCATCTCTTCTCCCAGAACTTTGAAGAAAAACAGTATCAAAAGGAAAAAAAAAAAATCTGAGGAAACCTGAATCAGGAACATATTTACAATATAATTAAAAAGTCTTTATAAAATCAGATGAGAGACAATTAGAGTAGCTTCTAAGCATCTGAACATTGATGAAAACTGAATTGAATCTCCATACGTTTTAAGATTTACCCATCCCTAGCCACTATTCAAAGCCAAATCTTCCCCTTCTGCCCTATATACAAAGCAATATAATGAAGAATCACAACAGCTTAGATGAAGAGCACATCTACCTTGCACTTCCCAGAAAAAAGTCACTGAGGAGTCTACCATCACAGAGAAATTCAGCATTAGTAATACAGCTAGTCTATCCTGTGGCTATACAGAGCTGAAATTGCCAAGCTATGCTGTATATGGCTTGCAAGCAAATTTCCTCCTTCTAGAACCCATAAAAGACCCCGCAGCCAGGGCACAGGGTTCAGTTAATCAGGATATCCACTGGGTTTTGGATTTGACCTTCGGTGTTGCAGAATCATAGATCTTCTGATAATCTGCTCTGGTACTGCACTACCTTCTACAAATATTTTTGAGAGAAAAAACACAGAGCAGACCAAGTAAGAGGGGATGAGGAGAAAAAAAAAAAAAGGAAAAAGAAAAAGAAAGCCAGAGCGAGAACCTGGGGATGAGAAGAACAATGTCAATAAATCAGCCGAGGACTATTCCCAGAAGTCTACAGCTCATATCCCAGCTTAATGACAACTTTTATAACAACAAACAGTGAGCGCTAAGAGCTGTGACCACTGCGGGCTGTTCTTTCTATGAAACGACAAGCACAGAGTCAAATATGCCCCACTGAGCCAGCTGAGTTCACAAGTATGAAACACATTGTCAGCACATCTTTTGTTGTTTAGAGGCCGTGCCAAAATCATTTCCTTGCGTCCATTTCTAAGCCAGGTTTTGCAAATGCTCGGTCTGAGTCGACTGTCCTGGAAAAAGCTGTGCCAGTGGGACCCAGCCGGGAAAAGTAAATAAGAAGGTCTGAACAAATCAATTAATTACTGGTAAAGTTAGGTGAGATAAACCACATCTCTACTGTGCTATGGAAATTGTGAAAGATATTTTCTGTTACATTTAAATTAAAAAAAAAAAAAAAAAAAAAAAAAAAAAGAGAGAGAGAGAGAGAGAGGAAAAGTCTTAATTCCTTCACGTGTTTTCCAGGCAAGGATTTGCTTGGGTTTTGTGAGCACGAGCCTGTAGATGCTATATTTCTTTAGTTGAAAATTTACCACCACAGGAATTTCAAGATCCTTTTAAAAAGTTCCCTTGTGCAATAATTT